CCAGGTAGGAACGCAGCTGATGGATCAGCCGAAGCTGAAAGAAAGTGCTCCTCGCCACCACTGTCACTTGAGCTTCCAACTATAGCTCTGGGTTGAGGAGCACTCCCAAGCTGCGGACCCTGTCCTTAAGAGGGAGTGCTACCCCATTCAGGACAAGGTCAAAGTCCCCCATCCCAGAGCCCAATCCACCTACCAACAGGACCTCCGTCTTGTCTGGATTGAGCTTCAGTTTATTGGCCCTCATCCAGCCCATTACCTCGGCCAGGCACCGGTTCAGTACAGCCACTAACGGGGATCATGTGCATAGATGAGCCCATCAAAGATGGAGAAACAAACAACAGTTGTGCTCTTAGGGAGGACTCTAATTTTACTCCTTGTTCAGAATCTTTGATGGTTGAGAAAGCTTATGTTTTGTTCACCTTTGCCATCAATGCAGAATATTAGGAGCTTTTGATATTAGATGGTTTACTCATATTGTGTATATGTTGCCCCCTGTTGTAATACTTTTCCACAGCACAGTGTCATACATTCTTCTCTGCTAATTAGACAAATGTGGTTCTCCCAGCTCATCCCCAACCTCTTTGATGTGGGAATATATCCTTGATGAGTATTTGTGCTTGATGTGGTACTTGTCTTGTTGCAGTATTTGATTGCTTACATCTTGAAACCATTTCATTAAAATGTGGAGACTTAACTGGGCAGGGGAAAGTACTGATAAGGCTCAGCTTTTTGTAAGTTGATATATAAGAAGAAGGGGCTTTCTAAAAATAAAAGATGGTTTTTATTAAATTAGTATAAGGGATTTTTTTGTTTAATAAACACATTTTCTATGCCTTGTAAGGCCATTTCATTAGATGTTACCTTTCATAAAGTGATTGTATGTTCTATTCTAGGCAGTTTTTGTCATCTTTTCTATTGTATCCACATTTTATCAGCCAGGATTTAGATCCCACCCATTAACAAAATAGCTTGGTGCTGTTGTGTCCTCCTCCTTATTGTATTCTTAAGTGTAGGGGGTGGTGGGAGGAATTTAAATTACTTGGTCTCTAATACATTTTTGAAAATTTAGTTATTCTTTTCCCCACCAAATGCTTTCATTAGAGAACTTTGGACTTGACAAATTATTCCAAATGTTTCCTTGTGACCTCAGGAATCTGTTCCTTCTAAAGCGAACAGCTTTAAGTAATGTTTCAAGAATGCAAACAGTGTTACATCAGCAGACAAGATATCAAATAATGCTGTCTTTGTCACAGGACAAGATACAACTTGTTCTGTGATTAATCAAGAAGAATAGAGTTTTTCAAAGTGGAAAATTAAGTTTACTATGTTCTTAAATGAGTATTACGTGTCAGGAAACCTTCTATGCAAAGACTGGTGTGACAACTGCAGTGCACCTACACATGTCTTGACTTTATTTACATTTTTCAGGCCACCCTGTGCACATGAAAAAATAAGTACAGAGTGGTTCCAATGTGATTCTCCTTGCCACCACTTTATGTTCCCCCACTGTTCCTATGGAACATATGCCACTGCTGCTCTGGGCATGTTGCACTTTGGCCCAGCTATTGACTTACAGTTGGGGCACTGCTGTGCCTTATTCTTGCACAGATCCCAGACCCAATCTCCCTACGCATGCTCTCATGGGAAGCCGGTTTCTGAATATAATTGACCAGTACTTAATATGAGTTCAGCTTTTATGGTAGAAACATATGTCTAAAGCTGATTCAAGTAGCTAGACCATTTGGTACCAAAATGACCTATTGATAGGGTAGTGGACAAGCATACCTGGATTTTTTTTAAATATTATATTAGAGTACAAATTTTTCACTTCCAACTTGTACAAACAGCTTGCTTTTATTGCATCATATTAATAGGTGTGTTCATTAAGGGCAGCTGTTACTTTGCCACAGAGCCAGACCTACAGGATAGAGAGGCAGATGCTTCAGGTGAAAGTTCATGGGGTACAGGAGGCCAGGACTGTGTGTGTCATCCAACCTGCCCTGCATCCCTGATGCTATTTTGCTGTCCTTAGGTATGCTGCATGTTGCCCTCCCATTGCCAGTGTTGACGTACAGTTGAACCACCTGTCTGTTAAACTTCCAGTCTGTTCAGATTTTTTTCCTGGAGTGAGAGTGGAACCGTCTTGTCCTTCACTTCAAGCAGCAAAATGTCTTGGGAAGCCCTGCCTTGAAGTTAAATCACTCCGTCTTCTAAATAAGTCTGACATAGTTAGATTTTTCTGTCCCTGGCACTCACCAGGATAACATTTTCAAGGGTGGATTGAAACCAATGGATTGTATATAATGGGTTGTATGCTGCGTTAATCTCATTTAGGTCCCATTCATTTCAATGGATCTATTCCGGATAGGCCTATCATTGTATGCAGTAGCCCATTGTTTATGCTTGTTGTGGTCATTGGGCTAAGGAGGGAGTCACAGTGCTTTTAATCTTCTGAGTAAGCTAATTCACAACGGCTTCCGAATATTCAGGAACTTGCTGCAGTCATCTGGTTCTGCTGATGCAAAAATGAAGGTTAGGAGAACAGGGGCTCTTTGCTTGTAGAACATGCAATGCAGATCTTGCTTTCTGAAGAGGATTGGCACTAAAGAACTATGTTGACCTCAGATGTTCAGCAGAGCTTTAAAAGATTGTGGCCCTTTATTTAGTTATTTTAGTCTATGTTTGAAGGGGGATCCTATTCATTTAAATGGATCAGAGAACTGCTTAAAGAAACCTTGAAGTATTGTATTTAATGACTGTGGGGTGAATGGACAACTGTTCCATTTTACACATGGGAACTTAGGCTTAACTAAGGCCATTCCTTGAATTTTCCACTGAGGTGGTATTTAACTGTAGGAAATATATTCAGTACACTCTTCACAGATGACTGAATATTCTCTGCCTGTTCCTATAATTGATTAGCTAATCTAATCAGATTGCAGATTAACTTTCAGCAATAGTAATTTGTGGAAGCGTCTTCATGAAGAAGAACATTATGTGGTAAATATATTTAAAGTTGCACACCCAACTAAAATATTCCATTTGGATCTACTGAGGTGCTGTGTGTTTGGAGAGACAGACACATGGTTAGTGTGTTCCTTTTAACAATGTATGCAACTAAATTTTAGTCTTGTTGTCAGCATTGGTGATATCTAGTGTATGTTCTTTCAGTTTTGAAAGTCACCTTGCTATCTTTAGACAGAAATATTTAAAAGCCTAAATTATGATGGTGTAGCAAGTTCCTAGGCCAGGAATCCAAGCTAATATGATTGCAAATCGGTTCTGGGAGCCCAAGAGCACTTAATCCTACACTTGTTTAAACACTTGTATTTTCTGCTGCATGGCAAACTTTGCTTATGAAATTGAGCCCAACCAAGGTATACACAAACCCTTGAGAAAGTTTAAGTAGCTCTTTGGATCCTTGTAGTGGTATCAGAAGTTAAGATTAAACTTCCATGTTTCTTCTGCCTATTCCTTTTTCCAGTTTGTATTCATAGGAAGATAGAAATTGTCTTAGTCAGACCATTGCTCAATATTGCTCATTGTCTAGTGTATTGTCTAGCATGCTGACCAGATGCTGCTCTCCACAGTTTTCAGATAAGTCATTCCCAGCCCTACTTGGACACAGTGAATATCCAGTTTCAGACATTTGCATGCAGATTCCTGATCCTGAGGAGAAGAGGGAGTATTAAAGCTCTGTTACACAGGCAATCTTCCCCTTACATTAATTCTGAATATAATCCATACATCTGAGAGACACTAAATCAAATATACTGTCTTCATCTGATATTCTAAGTAGTTAAGTAAAACCTCCACTGATATGTGGCTTTCCTTGAAAACAACTCATAAACTGCAGCTTGAGCAGAATGCAACACCAAGACTAATCACCAGGACTAGTAAGTCTGAACATAGAAAACCAATTCTGGCCTGCTTGCATTGGCTGCCTGTATGCGTCCAAGTCAAATTCAATGTGTTAGTCTTAACCCATATGGCCCTATACTGAAACCCAGTGCAGCATGGTGGTTAGAGTATCAGACTGGGACTTGACATCTGGATTCTAGTCCCCATTCAGTCCTGAAGTGGACTGGGTAACTGTGGGCCAGTTACATACTCTCAGCCTAATAGGTTGTTGCTATGAGGATGCAAATATTGAGTGGATTTACTAGGACATAAATGATATATATTGACACAATCAGACAAGAGGAATTTCCAGTTGAGAAAGTGGATGAAATAAGTATAGGCTACTGAAACACCTGTCAGTCTGGCCTTGCAGCACAGCTTGTCAAGGATGAACACGAATACCCCTAGGATGTTTCAGTTTTTCTTCATTGGGGAAAAAAATCAGCTTGAATGTGTACTGAAGTTCAGTTTTATCTTTAGCAGCATTCTTTAGATGTAGCTATGTGAAGATTTTGCATATGGGCAAAGGCTCCCTAAGTGCATACATTTGTAGGGCAAAACAAGGTGGGATTTTCAACATTTCATTTGCAAGAGAAGAAGACTGGTATAGAGTTGAGAGGTTTGCATTAAAAAGATTGAAACATGGAAATTAAAGTAGATAAGTATCTTCTATTGGATGAAACTCTTACACACCAAATGCTCTTCTATACGTCTAAACGTAATTTTATTCAATGATTTGTTGGCTATATAATCCTTTGCTTCTGTTTTTTTCTTTTTGTAACACAAAATTAACATTCCTGTGCTGACCATGGAGGCCAGGAATTCTTCAGCTTTGGCTATCATATTGTGAAAGTGATGGTTCATTATTTCATATCCTTTCTGGCACTGACATTTCAACTGCCATCCTATATTTGTTTCCCTTGGATAGTGTCCAGTTGGATTTGGTCTCTAGCTGGTGTGTTTCAGACTGCCGCCTTAAACTAGTTCATTTAATACATTTATGCTGTGATAATTTTGTTTCATTCTAAGCAGATTCATAAATACTGTTAAGGAAAGTTTTATTTTTTTCTTTGTATATATAATGTGTTTTATATTTTCAGGCTCTTGCAGACCAGTTTGAAGATAAGAAAACATCAGTTTGTGAACGTATGAAACTATTTTACAGTTCCCAAGTTCCTCCAAAGTGGGCAATACAGGTACAAAATAACTAGCACACAACTTTTTATATAGAATTTAGAATGCCTTTGACCAAGATCAAACTTGAGATGTTATAGTGGAGAAATTAATATTTTTGTTGACATGAAGGCTATTTTTTCAATGCTGAAATGCTGCCTCACTTCCATTTTCTCCTACCGTATTAATATATTGTTATGCCCAGCTAAAGCAGAATTATGTATAGAATAAAAATACTTTAGTATGTTTTTGCTGTAATATATATTAAAAGAGTGACAATCCAGGAATCATTCTCAATTGTCCATTAACAATACTAGCTAGTAGTGTCACTTAAAATCACAAACTTAAGAGATTTAAAATCTAGGTTAATAGTCAAGAGACTGTAACCAAGAGACATCTTTGAACTTTGGACTTCATTTTCCAGTATGCATGTCTTTCTCTGTCACTTTTGAAGCCATTTTTCCCCACGGCATTTTTCCTTTAGGATTTTTTATCATTTAAAATCCTTTCAAAAATTATCCCAGTTCAAAAACAGTATGTTCTTCATTTCTGGTTGTCTAGGGCCCCCCCTTTTTTTCCAAGCCAAACCAATTTATGAGCACTAGTAAAGAGGTACACTGGTGATTTATCATTGACAGCAGTTGCAATATTATATTAAGTAGCACATCCTTCTCATAGATTTCTCTCTTACTTAACCTAGAAACACTTACATATAAATCATACAAATGATTTGTTATAGTCAAGGATCGTGCCTCCTCAGTCCTGACTTGCCTTAGAATGTAAGCTTACCTGAGGCCAAGAAATGCCTATTTTCTGTCTCCCTGTAGCTTCCGAGAAGCTCCTGTAAAAGGAAACAGAAGGAGACCAGGAACTCCCATTTGGGGCTACTTGGCAGTATTCCAGATTTCTTATTCATTCTTTTCTCCCTGGTCCCTATCATTTTAGTCTGCCTGTTTCCTGCTTGTTTGCCCTTGTCATTTCCCTGATCATGGTTAAGTCCAAGATCAGCTATGTTGTTTCTAAGTGCAGTGGTGAATGGCTCACTTGCTAGGAACTACTATGTTGGGATAACTCCAAGCACTCAGTGCTCAATGTTAATTCAAATTGTGTGGGCCATAAACAGAGACGGACAGATAAAACTTTCGTATTGTACTTACAGTGTAAATCTGAAAATTTAGGCAAATACTTTTACTAGTTACAATTTATTATTTATAAATACACCAAATTCATTGGTTTATAAATACTTAGAAGTAATTATTTCACTAGAAAATATACCAGTTGAACTCAGGTACAGGTTTTCCTGGGCTGGCCTCTTCTTTGCTGGCTTGTTCCTTTCTTCTTTCCTCTTCTTTTAAGTTCTGGCCTAATTTGTTTCTTCTCCCAACCATTCAGGACAAGATGCTCTGACATTTTTCTAGATGGGTGTATTGTCAATCAGTTCTATTCAATATTATTACTAGTAGCTATCACTAACCTTATTCTGCATGAGTGTGGGTAAATCCCTTTTTCAGACTAACCAAGCTGGTGGCCATCACTGCGTCTTATATGAGCAGTACTTTAAATATGCTCTGTGTGAAGAAATACCTCCTTTTATCTTCTGTGAATCTCCCACCACTCCACTTCATTGGATGAACTGAGGGTCTTCTTATGGTGGAGAGGGGAAATTCTCCCTATCCACTTTCTCTGTACCATAGTTAAATACTCATGACAGGAGACTCTTAAAAGCTCACATTTCATATGATCAGTTAATATGTGGCACTGTCAACGAAGCCCCAATTAATAGATGCTTCAATAAGTCTTGAAGAAATTTGAATGGGAAGAGTATTTTTCATTTAACAATTTCCATAGGTACCACAGTAGTAGTACCCAAAAACTTGTCAGTAGGATAGGCCATTAGGAGCTAGATCACTTCCAACCAAATTCAGCAGGTAGATCCATTCCAGCTACATTTGGACAATGCAGATTCTTTTGGAGCAAAGCATCCATGTGGAGACATGCAAGATAACATTCTTGTATTTAAGAGGGAATACATCATAGACCCATGTCTTCCCTTTTATCTTAGCTTGCCTGACTCAAGACCTGGCTTCCATTCTGTTTAATTTGCTTTGGTCACTGGGATAATTTCACTAGTGCAGAGGTTGGACACCCACGTCCTGGAGCATGTTGTCCAAGATTTTGTTTTAAAGGATTGCATAGGCTGACAGATGGTTTATACATGCTGTCTGACTGTTACCTCCTCCCACTTCCCCTTCCTCCAGTTGTCCTTGCTAATGGTCTCTGAGCGTAAGGCAGTACCAAAATGTCACCATGACCCAGACTCTGGAGAAGATAAATTCAGCAGTAGTCAGTAACAATCTCAAGCATGGAATTTATTGCTGGTCATATCTCTGTACAGTCTGGTTTACATGGACATTTCTTTTTGCCATCCCCAGTCTGGGGGTGGTCTACAGCAGCCTTTTCCAACATGGCCTTTTTGAGATATTTTATCTCCCATTAACCCCCACCCAGCCTGGCCAGCAGTCAGGAATGCTAGTTAGAAATATTTGGAAGGCACAAAATTGACCATGGATGGTGTGGAGGGGGAAAATTGGCTAGCTCCATCTGTGAACTAGTTCCGAGTGAATTAATTTGTAAAATACCTATGCAACCTCTGCTCACTTAAATTTTGTGCTAGGTCAGTAAGTTTTATGGCTGATTTCTTTAGCTACCATACATTAGATATTTTTTAAAAACATGAAATTCCATGCCTTTCAAGGCTTGGCTTATGACATTTTAAAATATTTTCCATCTCATGTTCATATCAGCACTGTTAATTTTTTTTTTTCCTAAAGAAAACACTTGACTTGAATTTTTCAATATTTTACATTGCAGCGTCAGCTTGCAAGCTTACTGTTTGACCTTGGATGCACCAATTCAGCTCTGCAGATCTTTGAAAAGCTTGAAATGTGGGAGGATGTGGTTATCTGTTATGAAAGAGTAGGACAGCATGGAAAGGTAGAGTATATCAGCTCCATTTACTGTTGTTGTATTTATACTTTATAGCAGCATGTCCAAGAGTTTGGTGCTTTGCATATTCATTGTACGTATATGTACATAGTGTAATTCATTAAAAGCCTGCTGAAAGCAACTTCTTATTTCAGCAGAACATACCGGAAGGCGTGCTATGAGGTGAAATAGTTCCCATTGATATTCCATGACTGTATAAAATGATTCAGAACAGCTTGTGCTATCAGTTCTTTCCTTAAATTAAAAAGGCAATCACTGGTAGTGAGTGAGATGCAGGTAGCTCCTGATTACTTAAACAAGGAAGCCAAGGCAGGTGGCTCCCATAATTGTAAACATTCCAAAATGCGGAGAGACACGGGGAACCACAACAACCTTAGCAGTAGGAAGAGTGTGCTTGTGAATGACTGACAAAAATATTTTAAAAATATATGAACACATTTACGATTTTCTGGGGCTGAAAAAAAGATGAAATAAAATAGCATTGATTGTATATTCTTGAGGTTTTGTTTTTTTGGGGGGGAGGGGAATAAAATGCAGTTACAAAGGAGTTAGCAGTCAGCAAGGAGGAAACGAGAGCGGCTGCTGCAAGGAACACTGAGACACTGTAGGACTGGGAGCGAAGGAGGTGCTGGGTAAGCCTCACTGAGCCTAATTAACTGTTGGTCACACTGAGGGTTGATTCACAATCAAGCCACATTGCATGGCTTAGTGTGATGTGTGGCTGCAGCCCAGCCTTAGTGTCGCTTTCCAGCCAGCTGGTCTTTATGGCTACACGTGTAATACAGGAAATGTCTTGCAAAATCACCATGTAGTGAACCACCAAGAAGAACAAATCAAGTTTCTAGATTTCTTAGTCTTTGGATTCTTTGGATGGGAACAAAGAAATCCAGGAACAGAGCCTTAAAAATTATCATCATTACCATATGGGTGTTTAATCCTTCTCATTTGATCCCTCTAATATCCATTCATATTCATATTCTTATTTTTCTTTCGTGTGTGTGTATGAGAGAGAGACTAAAATCTTTGAACTGTAACTTGCATAAAAACTAATCAGGATGTTCTAGAAAAACAATTACTGATTGCCATCTGTAATCACATTTTTGCTTTTCAGATTCATATTTTTGTTGGTTCTGACAATCATGTCCAGTTTTCCCAGCATACTGTGTCTAGTCAGTGTTTTTAGTTTCTAGTGCTCTTGGAGAATGGGGTGATAGATGATCTGAAATATGTGAAGGACATAAAGTGGGGGAAGGATGGTGTGGAGGGATTTTGGGGAGGAGAGGAATAAGTATTATTTTGTATATTCATACATTTTCTTAAATTGTATGTTTGTGTCACAGTGCCGTGGCCATTGTTCAGGAGGCCTTTTAAATAGGCATTATACTATTAACAACAGAGTCTTGAAACATTTGATTCCACTATGATTTCCATTTTTAAGGAATATTTTTTCCTTTCATCGGCCCCTTGCTTTGTCTTTATCTATAGAAAGTGCAGGCAGTAGGGAATATAAATTTGTGTTATACATGATCTGGAACTTTTTGACTGGTCTTTCAGGCTTGGCGTGCTTATACTAAATAAATACCAGCAAATATGTGACTTGGTGCCAAAAACTGTTTTTCTCTCATTTGTGCCAAAGTGATACTGTGCCAATATGAAAATCCTATCTTGCAGAAAAGTTGAAGACAATATATTCAGTTTGCTAGAAATTCAGTAGTATTTAGAATTCACTAGCTCCAGTCAAGAGATAGGAAAATTGTGTTTGATGTGTGACTAAGGAGAGTATCAGGTTGGAACTGTTTCATAACTGATGCTTATACAGTGGTTTTGAAAATGTGTTTACCTAATTCTCTGATAGAATATGGAAAAACTGAAAAGAGGGGTTTAACTGCTATGTAAAGCACAAATGGGAGCCCTTTGTCTAGAAGCCAAAGAGCAGTTAAATTGTGCTTAGTTCAAAACATTTTTAGAATGGAGAGCTTCTGGTTTACATTCCACTGTAAAATCAAAAAGGTTATCTACCATGGTTCACAGATACATATGTGCTTCTCCTAGAGATTCTGTTTCAGCAGTCAGAGTACTATTGTGAAAATTCTTTTTGGCACCCTTGTATCACATGAGAATAAATTAATAAAGTGGGAATGATACGAAATGTTGGCTAAAATGAGTACTTAAAAAAGGATAGGGTTACAGAATTTGTTCTTTGCTTGCATTGTTTGGGTGATCAGAAATACAAAAATCTAGTAAGGCTGACACAGAGGATGCATTAATTACCAGGAGTATATATCCCTCTTAAATGGCAATTTCAAGGATTGTTTGTGGAAGGAGAAGTGCCATAAAAATATTTCCTATTGACTAATTCTTAATAATAACTCATCCATATGCAACTTAAACTCAGTTTAAGTATATCTGTTTCTGGAAGGCCCCACTATTTGCTGGGAAGCACACAGTATGTAAACAAAAAGCAACATGAAGTTCAAGGCATAATCAAAGCCACTCTGGCATAAAGTTATACAGAAGCACCGATCAGGACTGGATTACAACATCCCCCCCCACCTGGTCTCCAGCTGTGAACATCTTCCAGAGCATTGTTAATGCCATTATTACAAAATGGAAAGAATATGGCTCAACTGCAACTCTGTCAAGGAAAGGTCATCCACTGGACCTCAGTGACTAGGTAAAGTGGGCTGCCAAGAAGCTAATGATGATTCCAGGGGAGCTGGAAAGTTCCAGATAAAATGGGAGAAACCATCCAAGGAACAACTTGCACTCTGTACAGCAATATCCATTGAAAGTTTGTCCAGAATTGGTGGGACATTTTTAATTAATCTGAGTTCATAAGTTAGATGTACAGATAAGAGAGCTGTAATACTAGTGGTTGATGTGCTTCATGTTTCCCATGGTGAATTTCTTGGCTATTTCAGAAGGTATCCTGTGAGATTAATTTATATATATAAATATATATATATACCTGACTGAATATTTCCATACAGTTTTGGCTTAGCAGCCACTCCTTCCTCCCAGCAGGTGCCCAGCACATCTTCTAGGCTTAGCATGAGATTTCTTTAAACCAAAAAAGGTTACGTGGAAGAAGAGGAGAGACTATATTATACATGCACTGGCAGCAATTTCCATTTGTTTTGTCAGATTCCCTAAACTGAAAAACTCATGAGGACTGAAGAACAGATTTAAGAAACAGTTTCAAAAATTTGGTGTAGCAAATCCTGAGATTAAAAGGAAACAGAAAAATTTAAGGGTATATATATGTATGCTGTGGAGGATTAGAGGGACACCTCTGGGTTATTACCATAATAATCCAAATAATTTCACTGTCAACAGTAAAAGTATTCTGAAGCTTTGAGAACTGCTTTTCAGATAGTTATTTCACTGATTATTTTATAGAAAAGAAAGTTTAAATCTCTGAAGTTAACTTAGAATATGAATACAGAACCAAGAAGTATCAGGGTGAACAAAGCAGTTTGAATTCCAAAACCCCAGTTCCAGATAATTGGTTTCTCCAAAAAGTACACCACAACCTCCTGATATTTTTGACCACCTGATAGTTGTTTGGATTATTTAGAAGTTGTTTCACAACTGCTTTTCCTCGTAAGGGGGTATAACAACAAAGGAAATCCTTGCTGGATCAGATCAATGGTCCATTCAGTCCAACACTCCATTCAAACAGTGGCAAAACAGCTGCTTGGTCAAGCAGGATGGGTGCAAGACTTCTGCCTGCCCAAGCTCCTCAGCAGCTGGTGTATCCAGGCATGTCACCTCTGATAAAGGAGGTAGTACATAGTCAGCAAGGCTAGTAGCCACTGCTAGCCTCTTCCTCCATGAATTTGTCCAATTCCCCTTTAAACCTGTCTAGATTGGTGGCCATGAACAATTCCCATGGCAGTGAATTGCAGAAGTACTTCCTTTTATGTGTTCTAAACCTACCAGTTGGCTTCATGAGATGACCCTGGATTCTAGGAGATAAAGTGGAATATTCTTCTCCACTCTCTCCACACCATGCATAATTTTGAACACCTCTATTGCATCTACCCTTACTCACCTATTTTCAAAGCTAAACAAACCCAGGTGTCATAACCTTTCCTCACAGGGGGGTTCCTCCAACCCCTTGATCATTTTAGTTGCCCTTCTCTGCCCATTTTCTAGTTCAAGAATACCCCTCGTAAAATTCAGGCACGTGGAGGCCACACCCCATCAGGATCTCATCCACATCATCAGGCCTCAAATGTTGAAATTAAGTCAACAAAATAGGACCAGACCACACAACAGACATGGCTTCCTCACAACATCAGTAACCAAAAATGTGCTGAAGAAACAGCAAAGTCCTTTATCAGAGTAGGATTCAAATACAGGCATTTTCACCGGAGTCCAAGGTTTAGAGTCATTTAAGAGTCCACATTCAAATAAACTCAGTTAATCTAACCTGGAGCCAGAAATGCATTCTTAAATTCCAGCAATGTAATCTAAGACAGGGTCCCAGGACCCTGCAATATTTCAAGGATGGTATCTGGCGTCAGTGGCAGTGTGCCCACAAACCTCTTTTCCCAGCTGTGTTCCAGCTTTTATGCAGAGGTGGGGTGTCTAGATTGCCTCAGTTGACCACCTAGCCCTACAGAGCAACATTGCCTGGTAGACATTTTTAGGCATGACTCTTCCTCAACCAAATCTGCCTCCTGGCTTCTTATCAAAGAAAGTTCCTCAGTCTGGGGTGACTCAGGCACTTTTCCCCAGTCTAACTGTGGCCAGAAAGGAGACACTATTTTTCTTGGCCACAATCCACTGGAAAACTAGGCAGAAACAAATTGCTGACGCTCTGACAATCCACACTTGACTAGACCTTTCCAGACTTTTCCTCTAAAATAGCAGCATCAGTTCACTTAACATTTTGCCACCTTTTGGCATTGAATATCTTGTGTACATCAAGTGATGACAGTGTCCATTAAATCCATGTTAATTTCAGGACAACAAAATGTGAAAGGCCAAAGGGGGATGAATTCACTGGATACATCCACAGACTGAGAAAGTTGAAGAGGACATGTTAATTTATTCTCAAAGTGTTCAGCAAATGAGCAGCAGCAGGTTCCTAAGAACTACAGAGACTCTGAACCACTTGGAAAGGGTTCCCTGAATGATGCCAAGTAGATGAGATGGCGGCAGGGAAGCATCATTCATCCTTGTTACTAGAAGAGAGAGCTTGGCTGGGTTCACTCTTGCATCACCTCTTCCTTGCAGATGCTTGATACTTTTTCTGAATGAAAAATATGTACTCAACTACAGAGCTATCTCCCCCTGTTCCCAGTCTGGTTGGCAAACAGTTCACTAGGGATTTAGGTCAGACCAGCTTAGAGGGTACAGTTCCATGAACTTGAATATGAAATAGTATTAAGTAGCTGGCCTCCTGTTCTAGCAAACTGTACTAGGCACTACCACTCTATAACCTGGATTTGAGAAAGACTTATGCAAGGATGAGGTAAAGGAGCAGTTTGTAGTGCACTTTTCACCTCAGAGATGTTTATTCACACTGTAAACTCTTCCTCTGAAGAGAGGAAAAAAATGCCTAGATTGTTAAATACTTAATCACTGTATTGCCTGCTCTCTCTGTGTGTGTGTGCACACGTGTGCATGCATGTATGTGTGTGCATGCATTTTCCCTTGTTGAATACTTGTACAGCTTAAGAATTCTTCATGATAGCAAGCAGGTTTTATGGAAGTCATGTAATTTTCACCTTAATTTAATTATTCAACATTACTTTTGTAAGGTTTCTCACGAATTGTCTGATTTCTTCTTCTGTATTTGCCTTGGTTCCTAAACACATTTACTGATCAACACATTTCTGAAACCAACTATCCAATCACAATATAGCTAGTATAGCTGCAAACCCTCACTTGGATTCAAGATGCCCCATGTGCAAACAATACTTTGCAAGGGGTGGGAGAAGAGCAGACCCACTGATGATGTGCTGCATCAGATAACATTCTTAAAGTATGCCTGCTTTTCAGGGGCAGACGTAAGGGCCTCCAGTGCAAAAAAGGGAAAGACTCCCCAGTGCTTGGGGGGAATGTGGCAAGCATGGTTTTCAAACTGTGATGCTGCAACTATCGCCACCACCAAATAAGCTCAGAAGTGAGTACCAGTAAGGAAGACAGTGGAGACTACTTCAGCCTCTATCCTCTCCTTGGCATTCTTAAGAGCATGCTTATACATTGGGGAAAGTACTGTAATGGACTGGGATCTGTACTGCTACTGGGTCAGTCATGTGGATGGAAGCTTAGGAATGCATTCAGCCGGGGCCCAAGTGGAGATGGACACTCAAGGGTGCTGGTTTGCACTGAAGGCCAGAAAGGGTAAATCTACCCCAGGCCCTCCAAATCTGAGGAAAGGGAAACAGGAGGACCAGTGATGGTGCTCCAGAAAGTCTTGTACACGGTGAAAAGTTTTTCCTTGAAAGATATTTTCTCTCTTTTTCTCCCTAGGCAGAAGAAATTTTGAGGCGGGAGTTAGAGAAGAAGGAAACACCAAGTCTGTATTGCTTGCTTGGGGATGTTCTTAATGATCATTGTTACTATGATAAAGCCTGGGAGTTGTCAAACCACCGCAGCGCCAGGGCTCAGCGCTCCAAGGGTCTTCTCCATCTTCACAGCAAGAACTTCAGGGAATGTATAAAGTGCTTTGAATGCTCCGTGCAGATTAACCCTATGCAGGTAAAGCAATAATAACTTGTTAAAAATATTTAACTTCTGGACTTTTAAGATGTATATATTCTCCTGTATATATCTCTGTATAAAGTGCTTGATTTCTTTGATGGTTCTGGGTTCAAATAGACCCAGTTTTATAGAGAAAGAACTCATCAGGTCCAGCACTAGCACCCACTTTTGATAAGCAGTACCCTGAAGCAGCGCCTTCTCCATTATTGAAACTCTAGTGTGTGGAACCCAGATTGTCCCTGCCTGAATTAACCAAGAGGTTAATTTGAGATGCTCCTTGCCATCATGAAACCAAAGCTTCAAATTCCAACTCTGCTGTCCTTGTAACTATTTCAGGTTTTCTTTCCAACATCTAAGACTTTTTGTTTTTCCCTAATGGAACAGTTTATCATGAGCAGTGTTGGGAAGTACAGACCCCAGGCTCACATTTTGCCTTGCCCTTCAGAGGAGGAGGGACAAGTCTGCCTTGACATGACCCTCACAAGAAAAGCTGAAGAGGAAGACATGTTCAGAATACTGTTGTGGTCTGGCCATCTGGCAAGTAGTGCCTATTAGGATGTAAGTTACAACATGTGATTTAGCAATTAGAAATATATATGCCAAAGCAAAACAAGAGCTTGCAAATAAAAGTATTAATAATTAGCCCTAGTTTTATAAATCCAGAGATCAGCCGAAGGGTCTTCTTCAGGTGAGGATTTCATTTGAAATGCTTCCCACAGTACATCCTTTCATGTTTGCAACGGAAGTTGAGGAAAGTGGTTTCCTATCAGAAACATCTCCCTGCATTTAGTGATTACACAGGGCCTCTGATTTTTTGCAGTTGTGAGTTATTTGCCAGATCCCACTCCAACCAGCATAATTGCCTCCGGAAGTCATGGTTTTTCTCACTCCAGTTTTTCTTTGCAATTATTTCACTGTTGGGTCTTCTAAAGGCCTCTTTCTAAAATGTATAAAGATTGCATCAATGTATTTCCTGCAGGTCTGTCACAGTACCCTTTCTTTCGTGAAAGAATGCATGTGTTTTCACTGAATCATTCTAGTCCCGCCTTTTGTAATTTGACAGAAACCCAAAAATCTCTGGGATTGCTTATTTGACATCCTGAAACTATTCCATTTAGAAATTCAGAATTGATGCCAGTGCATCTTAGCTCTCTTCTGATGTATGCACAGATGTGAGTCTTTTTTGCAACTTTCCTTGGAAAAAACAAGTGAAGAACCAAACAAAACCTTTTTTTCAAAGTAGATTAATATTGCTAAGACTGCAATTCCCATCATTCTCTGATGGCTGTGGGTGACAGAACTGTAGTCAACATATGTGTAGGCCACCAGGTTGGGAAAATCTAGTTTGGAGGATAACTGGGTATGGCAGGAGAGTGTCTAAAGAGTCAGCAAAGCCTTATGTTGGTGGCTGTGCTGTTATCAACTTCTGTCCGTTTTCAAATCTGTAACTTTACACATCTGAACAAAAAGAACTTGTTCCAGTAGACATCATTTCACATCAAAGTGAGGGAACACATACATGGTAACTGATTTAGACATAGATTACTAGTACAAAATTCCTTTTCAAGTTATCAGATTTTTAGAATGGCCCAGATCCAAGGTTTCATTTCCTGATTAGAAGGGGGCCTGTTAGACCAGCTTGCAGTTTGCATGTCATGGGAAACTGAGATAGAAGAAACTTAGGGTAGCTGACTATGCAGGAAAGGAGGGATGGAGAGGGGGGCCGGTTCCTGGGCCATAAACCATAGTTTATTGGCTAGCATCATGATGTCTGAACTGGGGCATTCTGAATGCAAGATGTAATCTTGCTTTACAGAATTTAGATCCATTACTTGCCTCGGGGACACCCAGCTCTACATTTATAAATTAATGTTTAAAATGGTAAATATTTCTATGTAACAAATAATATTAAGTCACTCTCAAGGAATGAGGCTGTGCAGGGGATACGTTATTTTAAGCCAAGTTGTTTGTGGTCATATGTGTGCATTTTTTAAAACCTTTAATAGTTAGCTGGTGAGGCTACACTTTCCTTGAAAGCAAGCATGACACTAAATATATACTGTATTAGCATCTCTCCTTTTGATTAGGACTGGCTCACAGATTCACACTTGGCTCCCTGGGTTCTTCCAAGGACCCTTACAAGCTGGGATCTCCTGACTGTATACAGATCCAGTGACTGTATTCTTTTCATAGCAGAGCACTTCTCAGGCTCCATACTGCAGTCATCATACCATGCAGTGGCAGCTATTTCCATGGGGAGCTCAGTAAAAACATTACATTCTGTGCCCTCTTTGCAGAGTGTCCTGTGGAGACAAAGTGAACCATGTCAGAACTCTGTTTATCAGTCATGCAGGTTTGCAGTGTGAACACTTATATTATAATCTGTGATCTGTACATTAGCAAACTCCACCAAAGATTGCTTGGCACTATGCATTAGAAAACTTGGGCCATTTTTCAGTGAAACACTGTAATTTGTGTGATTGCATATGTATGAGTATACATATACATAAACACATATACAAATATATTTCCCTTTCAGTTGGGTGTGTGGTTTTCCTTGGGCTGTGCCTATTTAGCTTTGGAAGACTATGAAGGTGCTGCCAGAGCATTTCAGCGCTGTGTGATACTGGAACCTGATGTAAGTACAATGATAAAGGTAACCAAGGTGTTGTTTTGTTTAAAAGATTCTGTTCTTGATTCTCATTTTTGCATTTTGTAAGGGATAAGTGAAGCTTTTTCATTCAGAAGGCCTGTTTTGCCCATGATAGTCCTGGAGACAGCAACACCCGAGTTCCACCCTGAAAAGGCATGGCTGACAGAATAAGGAAGGATGAACATAAAACCTGTTTTTTCCTTTTTACTCCTGGCAGTGCTCACATATTAGAGAACTAAGCCATTATCAAAAACGGAAGGATTGCACTTGTGTGTGTATCTGCACCTGCACAAAGCTAGTTGATGCCATTGCATGTATGCATACATAAGTATGTGCACATGCACACACGAGCATGCACATGCACACAAACATTGTGCACTGCACACATGCATTTAAAATGTCATAAAGCAGCAGGCTATAAACAGTCATAAAATGATTGGTTCTTCATCAAAGAATCCATAAGATTAAGAATTCTTGTTGATTTCTAGACTCCTCTTTCCAAGCAACAAATTGAATGTTGGACCATTGTCCCAAATGAGTTATATTTACCCTTGTTTTACACTTCTAAAATCCCACATGTCTCAGACTGATCTTTAGTCATGTTGCCATAAAGCTGCTTGATATTCCATCATTTCTACTGTTGCACTGCCTTTATACGCCTCACTTCTGCAATACCAGAAAAAGATTTGGAATAGAGAGTTTTCTAGATGAATTTGGCTAATCCATATGACCCAGCCAGAGTTAAGCACTTCAGAAGCATGTTTTTGAAACTCTCCTGTTGAAACCAGCCAGACTTAAACATGTCTAACTATGACTGAATTTTTCTTCTTGATTGGCGCTGTGATTTTAACAGTCTGTTTTTTATGGATGTCAAAGGAGTTGACATACAGATCACTGTTTGCAGATAAAACTACGAATTAATGTTTTCAGTGTTTAAATATTTATCTCTGTTACTGTAAATTAATTTTCTTTTTGTGTTTTGACTGCAGAATGCTGAGGCTTGGAACAATCTATCAACTGCATATATCAGATTAAAACAGAAGTATGTACATCAAAGGAATTAGTGACTGTTTTTTCCAATGTAAACAGTGCTAGTTTCCCCTCTCTCCAGCTTTCCTTAACAGTGCCAATAACTCCCTATGAGTACTTGTGCACATACTGCCTTCATGGTCCACATTATGATCACCTTTATTCTAAGCCTTTCCATCTGGCTTTCCACCATAAATATCATTAGAAATTACATGGTATCACTTAAAAGCTTTTGGAAAGGAAAAAGCTTTTGTTTAGCCCCCCTCCTCTGCCCCAGATATTACAGTATAGAATGGATTACATAAGTTACAATTAACTGATTGCTTCCCTGTGCTCCTAGATTGAAACTTTGGCCTGCATCCAGACCCCTTCCAGAAGCTTGACCTGCAAGGCCTTCAGGCCAGGCTTTCTCTGTAGTGACACCAGACACTGAATGTAGTCTCCGGTGCAGGAGCAGGCAACATTTTGGCAATCTGAGAGACCTGTGAGCACCACCAGAAATTAGTTGCCATGGGAGGTGTGGCCTCCCACCAGGACAATTAACTCACCCAAAGGACTAAACACAAGGCAGAGATGGCTCCTGAGCCCTGCCTGTGGCCCCAAAGCAATCATGGTACCTGGAGATGGCAGCAGCTGCAGCAGTTGCTTTCAAGTGCTTTCCAGCTGTGGGTAACAAATGTGTTAGTTAATCAAAGGTGGAGGGATAAGTCATCTTAGTGCTTGTCCAGAAAGCTGTCTGGGGGCACACTGATGTGCCCAGGAAGCAAACTGCTTCCCCTGCTCAGGGGTGCATATTTCTCCTGCTTCAGCTGTTCCAGGATGTTTTTCCTTGGTGCTTCAAATGATGGTGTTACCACTAGTGGAATTTTCAGTGGCTTTTTTTTACTATTTGTTGTAGCATGTTATGAATTTATGCAGGTTCTGTGTCTTCTGTGTTAGGTGCATGCTACTTTAGGAGACATGGCAATTGCAGAGAATATGGTGTATAAATATTAAATACAGAACCTCATTCTTACTAAAATGGAAACTTTGTGGTCCCATTTAAACAGATGGTGTAGCTAGTGATTGATATTATATTTACCTTCAGAAATTCAAGGAGAAAGTTAGCAGTATAATACTAGGTTCATAAGAGCAGATTAGTATCAGCCTGCATAATGAGCTGCTTATTCCCTTATTCCTAGAGTGAGCTATTAATCTTGTAAAGAGACCCAATATCTCAGTTCAGCCTGCTTGTTTGGTTCATGTAAAAATGATTTGGGTGGATACCTCAGAAAACCAGTTCTTTCAGAAGTTTGGTATTATAAAGAAGCTGTCAAGATAATTTTTGGTTGCTTGGACTGTGCCCCATTAATCTGCCAGAAAGAATGAAATTTTAGAGAACAAGAGAGAAAAATTAAAGGCTTTTTTAATCTGCCTGACTTTTTTCTTGTATCAGTATGAACAATTTATCTGCTCTGAAGAAACTGGAAATGAGGAAACCATCAGGGAGTTCACAAAGTTGTGGACACAGGAAACAAATTGCTAAGCAAGTACATTGAACCAAAAGCCATAAATAAGTTCAAGAGTTCCTTAGACATATTTATGCAACATACAGACAGAAAGATGCAGTTGCTACAGAGGTTGCCAAGGAATAGAAAATAGATGTAGAGAGATACCAGGTTGTTTGTTCAAATGTCCTTCTCAGAGTAAATGCCCAGTTCAGCAACTTCCAATGCTAATGTAGAAGTACAGAGGAAAAACTATGTATGCACCTCCCAAGATGTGGGCATTAAACACCCAGATGACACTTCCATTTTTCTGAACGGATGAAAAATATACCTATACCTACCCAATGCAAGTGAAATTGTAATATTTCCAAGAGCATGGTCCTGGAGCATCTGTTCAAGGGGCTGTTCAAGCTTCTTTGGGGTACAATTCAAAATCATTAGGCTTAGTTCCACTTTATTACCACATAAGTCTTGACTGTAGCTTACTGAACATCCAGCCCCAAAGAGCCTCCGTCGCAACTATGATTTGTTGGATGTCTGGCTCTAAACATCCAGTTCTGTCAGGTTTGTGAATAAACAAATTTTGCGACAGGGCAGGCAACATGTGAGCCTTAAGGAGATATGCGGCTGTCATATCCCCAGAGGTGCATGCATTCTTTGTACTGTTGTCATAGCAGTACCAACAGCTTGCCTGTTGAAAGTTCCTGTAATCTCATCTACAACCCCATAGCTTCTACTCAGAATACAATAACATTATTTGCAGAGCATGCTGCACATTCCACATATAGCTATCCATAATTCACATCCCTCAGTTCATAGGCTTAATACCTAGCTCAGGCCTTGGTGCCAAGTATTCACTAAACTTTGGCAAGCTCATTACTTTGCATTTTTCCTTGGTACTGATGACCTTGTAACCTAACCCATACCTTGGTGTCTGGGGCTTGTTCTACTGACAACATCAGTACTTAACAGTTGGTCTGTATTATCAGTCTTGGTGTCTAGCCAAAGCCTCAGTACCCAGTATTAGCACTTCTTTGTATTAATCATCTCAGTGCTTAGATTTTTGGAACCTGTTCCACTGCTTGCTTCATAGTACACCTAGAAGAGATGCAGTACAAATGCAGATACTTTATTGGCTTTGGTACATGTCTTACCATGTGGACAGGCTGGTTATTCAGCTGGAATCAGGTCTTGAAAGCTAGTTTTCATCCCAGTGCCTTGATGCGGGCCTGACCTAAGTTGTAGTACCTAATGCTTATGAGGTAGATGCTTTAATGCTATGAACTCCTCCTGCCTACTTGATCTCTCAGGATAACCAGGTACTATATTGAAGCATTTTCTGTATCAGGCTTGGCCCAGCTCTTCATACCTGGCACATGATGTTGTATACAGTACTTTGTGATGCAAATGCCTGGACTCGGACCAGGTGCTTGGCACAGCAGTTAAGACACACGTGTCAGACAGGCCTGACACTTCTGAAATTCTAATCTGGTCCTCCACAGCTGCTTCCCCTTTCCTCCAACCATTTGTTTGGTGATTTCTCAGTAGTTGTCCCCCCTGCTAAGGTTTATATACTACCAGTAGGAGTTCTAAACTGGTCTTCTTTTGTAATTTTGGCTCAGTCCCTTTTGCTGGGAGCTAGGGTTGCACATTCAAGGCAACAGGCAAAGCTCTTTATTCTCCAAAGTATATCCAGTAAGCACAATCAACACAGAATGAGTCTCTGAGCATACCCAGAGCAGTTTGTTGAACCCAGTCTAGCAATTATTTCCAAGAACCTGCCTTTTGAGCACTCCTGGGCCCCCTTCCTCTGGGAGAGGACCCTTTTGCTGGCAGGCAAGCCTCTTCTTTGTATGTCATCCCTTTAGTTGGCTAGACCTTCACTCCCAACATTGAGACATGGGATTAAGAGTCGGACCAGGCTCGACAGCACAGTGCTGTTGCCGTCATTGCTGTCCTGTATTGCTTTCTGACCTTGGGACTTTGTTTCTGTCCTCATCTATGATTTCACTCATGTGTACATATGCCTGACCAGCTTGCTTTAACCATGCTTTGACTGCTACCAGTTCACTCCAAGTTGTGAATAAGGCATGGGATCAGTCTTTTCACAAGATTCCCAGTAACTGGCAATGTTCTAGGTAATTTTTAACAGAAGATTAAAAGTAAGTGAACATGTGATCTTTAAAATGCTTATTTTAATAAATGTATCACATTGCCTTTTCCTTAATGCACTCTCAGATTGGTTGCCATAAAAATGTCATAAATATTCTCACAGTAGTTCTGGAGATTGGGGAATATGGTGCTTCAGCAACAGGCCATTCAGCTCACTGTTTCGGTTGCCATGGTTTTTGCAGAAGCACAATTCAAGACTCGTGTGCCAAATGTGCTGGAGCCCAACTGGATACCATCTTTCATCGTGCTGAGGGCATTCCTGTCTCTTTTGGCCACAGATATGGGGCAAACCTCAAGCTTAAGATGCTGTGATAGAATAAGCAACTCTGATTCATGTTGCTGTAGGGGAACTGGAAAGTCTTAATGTTGATATGGAGTAACGTTCTGGTTCCTTTGACTTCATCTTTCACTGCTGCAAGCCAAACTGCTTTCATTCATATATTCTGTGATCTTTTCTTGAGTCTTTGAAGTTTCCTCTCTAGGGAATTGGCTATTAATCTGTATATGTTTTTCTGCTTCCTTTTTCCTGTACATGCTTCTTTTTATAACATAGCAATTATGATCCATACATGATCCATGCATTTTACCACCCTTTTCTATGAGTGAAGGTTTTTTTGGCAATCTACCCTTCATTCAGCTATAGACCATCTTTCTGTATTTGCACACTCACTATACAGGTTTGTGCATCTGCATTTGATTATTGCAGATTGTTAATGTAGGTTAGTCAAATATTCACAGCAGAATTAAATGTACACTTACTTTTTTGTCTGCTTAGCAAGATTCAAGGAAAAATTTTGCTTTTAGCTGTCTGCTATCAAGAACTGCATTGTTCTAACGGTTCTGAGCAGTACAAGGATATTGCTTGCACCCTTACTTTTGTCTGGTGGCCATCCTTTTTGGCAGCTGGTATCTTCAGAATCCGTCCCTACTCAGTGTCCTGGAGGTTTGGGAGTTCCTTACATTGCTTTCATAAAAACTCCTGTCTCTCACTTTCCTGAAACATTCTTTGTGTGCTGATTTTTGTTTGGATCAATCCTTGAGGCTCAATTAAGAATTCAAAGGTCTCCTCTTATTCTTTACTTTCTGGTGATCAATTTGCTGTGACAGTGATATCAGTTCCATTCGCTCTGGATCCTCTTTCTGAGTGTAGAATCAGATTTTGCATTTGCCCTTTAAAGGTGTCTCATTGTCTGACTCCTTTAACTTTGGCATGGCTTCTTCCTTGGAGCCGGTGCTAGTTTATGTTCTAAGCATGGCATAAAATGGTAGGCTTTGGGGCATGGTGCGTGGTGACATTCTTGTGCTGACTTCTAGGTTGGCCAATGACTAATCCCCAGATAAGTGACTGCACAGAGACCGTGATGAAAACGGTTTCTTTGCTTCCCATGTAGTTGCACTACACCCCATCCTTCCCTGTTAAAAGCCTAGCTTTTTCACTTAGGGTTGTAGCAGCCTCTGTGCAACCATGGGCAACCTTGGAGCTGCCCCTCAAGTACTGCCAAGGTGTAGGGTTTCCCTGCTGTGGGGCTGAAGACTGTCCTCAGCTATAGAGAGTTCTAAAAAGTTCTGCTTTCCAGGCATGAATGAATGAATGAATGAATGGACATATAACTGCCAGAGAACCACAGTTACAGGGTAACAACCTGGTTTCTGTGGGCACCTTCATTGTGCAGTGCCTTCAGTCATCATTCTTATAATGTAAAGCTGCTGTTTACCAAATCAATCTGTTTTACAATATAAAAGTCAGAAAAATTTTTTCCATACTAAATGGATTATATTTGCCTTTTTAACAGACACAAATTTCTAAAAAGAAGGCCTGTTTTTCTGCTTTGGCTGTTCGTAAAGGAAGAGCATGATTGCCTTCCATAAGTAGAGAAGGCAGAAAAGTATTGGGGCATTTGTACCCCATCCTGAGTCCTTGGTAAAGGATGGGGTAGAAATGCTTTTAATAAGTAAGTACTGGGATGAATAACTTTTCTCAGAAAAATGTAATACAGGTTCTGTATGTGTCCTAGCAGAATAAATGGTTAAGCTACATTTTATTGAACTATGTCAGTGACGTGGACACATGAAAAGGGTAGAGCAAAGGCCAATAGCATCATCTTGAGCATTTGAAATACCAAAATGACAAAAACTAGATGCCTTTCGTAAAAAGTCCAGTAGTGCAAGGTGATGCGTGCTAACTGTAAATGACATGATCATGTGGGTGGACCAGTTGTATGGGCCTTTCCAATCTGGTTGGTGCTCTGTCTTCCAGCCAAGTAACATTTGGGAGGGAAGGGCTTATCTTAATGTATTCACTCATCTGTATCTGATCACACTACAAGGGAAGCATCTCCCACATTATCATTTGTTTTATTTCTATACTGTCAGTAGCCAAAGAGCTCTGGGCAGTTGACAACAGTTCACAAAAATCACAGACCTTAAAATGCAGTAAAATGTACCACTGCAGTTTTCCAGTATACAGTATTTAAAAGTAATTTAATAGCTGAAAGTAGACCTGGAAGAAGAAGGCAGTCAACCTGGTACAGAGAAGATGACAAGTTTGTTGCCAGGTGGGCTTCTGTGGAGATATCATTTCATAATCAACAGGTTACCAATGAGAAGGCCTTCATCACTGCCATGCTCCAAGCCTCCCTTGGAGGTGATTTTCAGAGGAAGGCCTCGGATGTTGATTGTAGCATCCAGATAGATTCCAGTCAATCAGGTATTATGTCCTGTGATCATGTCTGAAGAGACACATTCTCAACAGAAGGCAGACTTAACGTCTGTAGTGTGACTATTTCTGGTATAAAGAGGAGAGAATCATCAACTTCTTATCAAATGAGAAAAATGACTCTTTACTGAGATTGTTTTCTGAATGTGAGATAATTTTTTAAAATTCTAAGTAAGCAAACAGGAAATTTTACTGGCAAAACAAAATGCTTCTGCATTTTAATTTGTTGAATTTTTTTTCACCAGAATCAAAGCATTCCGGACTCTTCAGGAAGCTCTCAAATGTAATTACGAACATTGGCAGATTTGGGAAAATTATATTCTCACCAGTACTGATGTTGGAGAATTTTCAGAAACCATTAAAGCTTATCACAGGCTTATGGATCTACAGGAAAAGTATAAAGATGTCCAGGTGCAGTATGCCCCTTCTGTTAATTCAAGTATCAAATGTGCCATGCTTCAAATGTGGGTCATGAAACTGTCCAGGATAAGGCATAATTTATAAAAATAGTCTCACATTTTACAGTAAAGTTGCCAGGAGACTCTCATTCACTGTGAAACATTGAAAGCAGATCAAAGCCTAATGAAAACTCTACAATTTCATCTGTGATGGAATCTCATTTTCCTGTACTGATCAGTATCAATGGAAATGAACATGACTCCTAACTCAGGGCTGTGCAGCTATTGCAGACAAGTGGAATGCATAGCAGGGGTGTAGAGCTAAAGGCCCAAATCTGGTCCTCAGTGGTTACTTAGATGACCATCCTCCCTTACCCAGTCCTTTCTGGCTTCCCCAGTAAGAATTCCAAGCTAAAATATGCAATATTTTAGCCCAGTTCCTTTTTGCCTTCCCCTGAACCCCTCATCTCTGCAATTCAGCCTCAAAGAGCTCTCAGGAGCACAGGAAGACACAACAGCCAAATTATATCCTTCCTTATGTTGGTTGTAAGGCACTTGAAGGCACTTCATTTTGTTCTGCCATGTACATCAATGCCAATCAATCATCCATGATTGATTGGGCTGTGGATCAGGGACAAAAGTATATTGATATAGTTTGGTACAGCCCTGAGAGCTTTGGTGGTATAAAAATTGACAAAAAGCAAAACAAAAAATGGAGCCTGCTGCTTCCTGTCAGTGTCCACTTGGCATCTCTTGCCTTGGAATATCTAACTATTCATCAACCTATTAGCCTGGGCACTGTAAATCAATATTTTAGGCTTCAGTATACAGTTAGGATTATTATGTGGCTTAATTCAGAAGTCAAACATCCATCCTGTTTTCCTTATTTATTTTCATTAAGTTGAAGTAAAACTTGCAGTTCAGGGAAGGGTTTAAATGTGCTTTTAGAGGTGGTCAGGCTTGTGGGTGCAGACTTTCTCCATGACATAAATTAGTCATAGATTTTCTACTTGCTGTTCTTTCCTCACTATGTTGCATTAATATTAATGAGTCCTTTTTGAGTGATGATGGATGGGTGGAGGTGATCATCCCAAATTTGCCTGTCATCTTGCTGGCATTTCTTGCATTGAGTTTGCCATATGATTTTAAAAAATGCACAATAAATTTTCCCTCAGGCCCTCTTCCATTGTGTGAAAACACCTCTTCAGAATTCATAACACAAAGGAAAAACTCAGCAGGTACAGGCTTTCCTACTACAAAAAGTCTGTGTTCCTCTGCTGTGGGATTTTACTTGGTGCAATTTGCTTCATCTGTCATCTTCAGGATAGGTGCCAAACATATTTTTTGGCAAGGACTAAGAATGATCAGGTGTTCCTTAATAGTGCCAATTAACTTATGTTTGTCTGAGCCATTGTCCACTGAAATTGAGCGGTTGTTGTTGCTTTGATGATAATATGTGAAGAACAACAAAAGCTCCAAATACTCTGTGGGGTCTGGTGTATTCTGCTCCATTATAGTGTATGGCTTTATTTTTTGAAAAAGCCGGGCATGAATGTATTTTCAAAATTGGATTTAATGGAACACAGATGCCAGCAGAGGAAGACCAAAATGCAGTTTTCCTATGCATGCTTATTATGCAGCTCATGTCTGGCAGCTTTTGTAATGGAAAAGCAAAAACAAAATCTTTTCTTTTCCCCTTTTGAATTTCAGAAAAGTATTCTGAAGTGGAGAGGAAGCAGAATTAATAGGTTCAGGAGACACCTGTGCTTGCTAATGATCATTTCCTTGTTTTTGAGCCTTAACATAGGGAACCATTTACAGCATGGTACCCCTGAACTGCTGGCTTATCATGTGAGAACTGATCTCTAAAACCATTTCCCCCTTGTGAATTCTGTCATCTTTGCTAAGCATCAAGGCAGCTTGGGAATGTGTTTTGACAGGCTGACTTTTATATCAAAGGAGCTTTGTAACTGTACAATGATAACTAATAACAGCTCAGATGTTGGAAAGTTTTGATTTTTCTTCTTGATAAAAGGCAGTGTGGTACATGAAAACATGTTGAGAAGTTGAGGGAAGAGCAAAGGTGGTACAGCAGAACATTGTTTGATCCTTTATGGTAATACTACCCTATTTTAAAAAGCAGTATCCTAAAGAGGCATACTAAAAATAAATGTGTGCATATATAAATTATGTATATAATAAGTAATATATACTCTGGATAAAATTGTTGCTTCTGTTCCTTGGAAGAACATAATAGAACGTGAGCACATCTAAATGAGTTTGTGATCTACTAGTGGTAACTCCAACAACTGAGAAATTGGCTGCCTTGTTTCATAACTGCAGGATTTATCACCAGTAGATGACAAACCTATTTCATAGTGTTTAGATTATGCTCTTCAAGACAGCATAATAAACTGCAGTCAGTTAATTTGCTTTTCTCCTTAAATGTAGCATCTCCTTGCACAATGGATACATTATTTTTTTAATGAATCCCACTCATTAAACTCCCACACATTGAACCCAGGTATTGCAGACATCGAGTAAAATTCACTCAGGCTTTACAGTGTTCAGTTACAATTAAAAATTATCTTCTCTTTAAGGTGCTGAAGATACTTGTAAAAGTAGTGATGGATGGAGTGGCTGATCGGAATGGAGAGACAGCAGCAGGGTTAAAGGGAAAACTGCAGGCACTCTTTGGAAGAGTAACTTCGCGAATTACAAATGATGGAGAAATCTGGAGACTGTATGCAAGACTTTATGAAAATGGGCAGAATGATAACCATGAAGATGTTGAAAAGGTAAATCAATAAAGATAACAGCTGATACCTATAGATCTGAACTGTGGAGTACAGTTGTAATTCTTGCTTTGTGATGGTTTGGGTTCTTCTGTCCCAAACACATAATTGATTGGGCATGAGCAGTGCAGGAAAGTGCAGCTGTGTAACTTTGCGCTGAATCATAATAGTGTGACTGACACTCTTCTCTTCCTCTGAGTAGTACTGCATTTTGCTTCAGGCATTGAAATTCCAGAAGAAAACCAAAACATGTAAATCAGTTAATTCAAATATATTGCTGGCTTCTGCAAGTGCAGGCCAAGTCCCTTTCTCTATGCAGAGGGAGAAATTTTTTATATAATGGATGGGACTGGGATGGGTGGGAGGGCAAGGCTTGAGGGTGAGGCTCCATCCTTGAGGTCCTTCAGCCTGCTAGCTTGATACAGGGGACTAATCTGTTACTCCAGGAAAGCTATCAAGAATAGTCGATCCCCTCCCAGGTTTCAGCTGAATCATTGGAACAGAAAAGGCTGATGTCTAAGACTGACATCAATGAAGTATTGATGACTTGTACTTAAAGACAGTGTTTTTTTCATTTAAAGGTGCAATCCAGTGAATGCTACATATATTTAATTATTTTAATTCAATTTAGGCATATAGTATGTTTGAATTACGTTCTGTATTTCAATATTCTATATATTTTCCTCTGTATTCATAATCCAGAAATTCTGTGCTAAGGTGTTAAAAGTTTCTTTTATGCAATGTATCTTTGGTAAAGTGGTTTATATGTTTCAGCTTTCTTTTGGAATTTCAGTGGCTGGAACATTATCTTAATGCAGCAGTGCTCAGAGGAAAAGAATGCTTTCCGTCATCACACTGTTATTATCCAGTGCGACCTAACAGTCATCCCACAGCATGGGATCACCTATTAAGCTGTTCCACAGGGCCGGACAAGCCAACATTATGTGCCGGCACATAAATATCACACTACAGGTGTAGTACTCTCTGGCTGGAGTAAGTGTGGCATCACCCCAAACACATTTAGAGAGATGGAATTAAAGCATATCGATGGTCTGTAAAGGGAGGGAGCAGGGGGAGACCTGACAGGCATATAGGGGAAAGTAACAAAGATAAGGAAAAAGGAGGTATGCACTTGCGCTGGAGAGAGAGAGAGAGGGTTGGCAGGATGTAGGAGATGAAAAGAGAAAAGAACAAACAATTTTTTTTAATCTTCTTCAGGAATGAGCTCAATGCAAGATAAAGGGATTTGTGCACTTCTTACCCTTACATTGCTTATATCTCAGCTCTGCCTTGCAAGCCCAGACTAACTTTTTGTTTTTGGGGGGATTTTTAATTGATATCATGTACCCTTTCAGCAACAAAGAAAGTCTTTCTTCATCAAGTCATTTTTATCAAGAAGCTGCTGGGAATTCTCAGTGCCCCATTGTTAGCTACAAAGAATATTAATAATTTGAGAGAAGCTTTTTTTAATATCCTTGATTATTCCCCTTTATAACATCAGAGTTCTTCTACCTTGATAGTTAATACCAGTAGTGAGCAAATTTTTAAAAATGCCTCAAACCAGTCTTAAATCCAGAAATTTAGTATATTCCCTTTAAATTCAGTATACTCACGTAGTATCTTTGTCCTTCTTTATTCTTGTTTAAGAACATTTTCACCTTGTAAAAGTATTCCTGGGTTCATTGAATGGAGTCAGACCACTTGAGGCCACAGAACTGCTAAAGCTAAACAGGTGTGGGCCCACTCAGCCCTTTGAGGGAGAGGGCAAAATAAGAATAATACATATTTTTAAAGAATAGAAAAGTATTCCTGGAGATGTCCTTAGCAGTGACTACCATTCGGTTATTGTCCCTTCCTAATAAGTCATTAAATGGTGCTAGAACTGCTAAGCATGCACTTCATTTTTGCAAAATGGTTGCTTTGTATTTAGTAATGTTTCCATATGCAGATAACTGTGAAGTTCTGTCCATGTTTGTAGATAGGGTTGGCAGACCTATATTAGGTTTATCATAAGGCCAGTGTTTTTTGTGAATTCTCAATGGTACATTATTTGAACCAAGAACAAGAAAGCCCATAAATCTGTAATCAAGCTTTAGGAAGAGTATTTTGACATTTGTGTAAGGAGATCAGAGGGCTTTCTATGGGGTCAGGATGTGTGGCAGGCATCTGACCTTCCTAATCTTCAGTGAAAAATGTAGAAATCATTATAGCACAGATAATATCCTGAAACAGAGCACTTATCTCATACCTATAAGTATCCAGATGGAAATCCTGGCATTGAATAGTATGTCGAGAGCTCAGTAGCAGCACAAAGATTCTTCTGTCCTTGATCCCTGTGGAAAGATTTCCCCCAACCAAAGTGACCTTTAATAGAAGCTGTATTGTTTATCAACATTCTGCCAGCTAACCTCTGTCTCCCTACCCCAGAAGTCTGAATGCTTCTGAGTATTCAAGTGATTTCTTAGCTTTTTAAAATCCATGGTAATATGAGTTTCTGCTGTTCAGTGTTTCCTTAGAACTGAACTTTAAGTTTTACATCCAGTTTCACAGTCAATGCAATATGATTAATCTTCAAATCATAACTTTCTGACATACAAAAAAAGAAATAATTAAGCACATTATTAGTAAAACTCTATCCACTGCATGGAATCTTTACTACAGGGTACCACCACCACCTCAGTCTTCCTCCAGAGGTGGTATAAATGCAAATGAGTTACACATCCTTAAAATATTGTTTCTATTTCTGTCCACATATGGGATCCTCAAGGCAATTAATAATCATAAAATTGTAAGCAGAGGTTTGGACACAAATGTCTTTGAACAGGGTGCCATTCATGGGACTCTTTTGTTTCGTGTTTGCCTTCTTTTTTGTATAATACCCGCTATGGTTGGCTACCTCTTGATGGTTCAAAACATGACGGGAAAGGGCACAGAGAGGCTGAATCACGCAGCAGAAAGGCCTTCACCTTGCACTGCACTGTGACATATTTGGATCCAGGACCTAATACATTCCATAAAGCAACTAATCAAAATCGCTGCTAAAACAACAATACAGTCAAATTAATATCAATAAAAAAGTGCATAGTGAGTGAGGAACACGTCAAAGATCTCCCAAATCAAAGGCACATCAGTGCAGCATCTTAACTGAAAGCCACCAAAGGAAATAGCAGATGACCTGGACTATAGCTTTAATAATTTGAACAAAAGCCCCATCCAGCAACCAGCATTACGCTATAACGCATTATAAAAACTAAGAAATACAGCAAGAATTGCAGTATACTCCATTTCCCAACAGCTGCATTGTGACTGCATGTGCATACTACTGTTGTGTTTTGGCTTTGTTGGTTAAAAGTTGCAGCAACTTTAGTTTCCGCAAAATGAAGAAGACGATGATGACAAAATCATGCTGCCCTGCATCAAACATGCCAACAAGTCATACAAACCCTGAAACAAATCTATTCTTCTTGTTTTCGCTTAATGTGTAAGTGCCTATCAAACCCCAAAAGTAACCCTCACACATATGCATACCCAGATTTTCAGAGGAGGCTATCCCCTCTTGGCCACGGGACTCTGAAGTTGCATTTTCCTAAGAAGGATGAATAGCTGTAACTTCCGCTCTGCCTGATTTGACTCAAATGAATATTTCACCTGCTAATGGTCACTCTGACCTTCCTGTTTTGGCCTGCTGCATTCCAGTTTCTCATGCAAAAAAGAATGTTAATACATTTTGACCCACAAACAAATTACTCATTTTAAAATGTAAGAATTTCTTCTAGCCTATTTAATTCGAAAAAATCTGACAAATACTTTAAAGCATGGTAGTCACATCTAAGCATCTAAACTACTTTGGCACTTGGGGCAAATCTAATGCTGAAGCTGCTACAGAGCTGGTTAAAGTTTCCTGTTGAGAACAACAGAAAATAGCACACACATTTTTAGAAATCAAATGCACACATACAGAGGATATGCAGAACCCGCAAATCATTTCACAAAATTCCAATATATCTATTATTATTATTATTATTATTATTATTTCATTTTTATGCCACCTCATAAAAGCTCTCTGAATGGTTTACAAGGCAAACCCTAAATCATATGAAATATTAACAGTGTCACACACACACACCCCAATCCTGAAAAATGGCTCTGCTGGGAGCTTAATATTAAGTGATAAGTAAGATGGGTTCAGGTTTGCATGGACCAACTGCTGTTTAACTAGATCAACCAATATACATTGAATGCATAAAGCAAGAGTCAGTACTTATGAGCTAATATTAAAGGCACATTCATTCATTTTACATATTTATTTAAAGCATTTATATACCATTTGATTAACACAATGCTCTAAAAATAACCATGATTACATAATAACCATCCATGTTAAGCCATGTTTGCACTCTCTTTTAGGATCCAGATATGTCAAGGATCTTGCTTTTACAAATCCCAGCAACCAGCAGGCTCGAAAAGGGTTTACAAAATTATTAGAAACAGTTCAAACAATAAACATGCACAGTTGAGGTCAGTGGATTTTTTGGGAAGTGGAATAAAACTGTGTCCAAGTGTCTTCATTTTTTTAGTGGTCAGTCTTACAGAGGTGGGCAAGTGTATGCTTGTAGCTTTCTGATTTATGTAGTCTTGTTTGGTTGATGTCAGCTGAAGTGCAGTTGGTAACATACAGGAACTGACACGGGCTGCATAGAGACTCCTTTGCACGCAGTTGCCAAGCTGTCCATTGAAAATTGCCAGTAAAAAGCCAGGTGGTGTAGCAGTTAGTGCACTGGATTGGCTCTCCAGAGATCCATGTTCCAGTCCCCACTCACCGATTAAGCTCACTGGGTGACTCTCTCTCAGACTCTCAGTCCATCCTCCCTCACAGGATTGTTGTGAGGATAGAAAGGAGAGGAGGAGGCCTGTATAAGGGTCTGTATAAGATTCCTTCAAGGGGAAGAGAGGTGGGGTATACATGTAATGTAAAAAAGGGCAAAAAAGCAGGAGAAAAGGTGCTACAGTGTAGGGGGGCGGGGTAGCAAAACGAACTCTGCCTTGGCAATGTAAGCTTCTGGATTTGAAGCATTGAAATGCCAGTTCTCAGTGACCTGCATGTGTTTGTTATTTGCGTGGATCTCACCTGGTCACTCCACCCCACTGAGCAGTTGCCTTGCCTTGCCTTGCCTTGCCTTGCCTTGCCTTGCCTTGCCTTGCCTTGCCTTGCCTTGCCTTGCCTTGCCTTGCCTTGCCTTGCCTTGCCTTGCCTTGCCAAGGACTGTCTGGGAACCTCAGAAACTACAACGGTCAGTGCTGTGAAAAAGAAGCTGAGAAAAATGAGAGGTGGATTCATATCTCCCCTTTCTGGAGTAGCTGGAGACCCAGAGAAACACTGTGTACACATTATAGTGCAGCCAGCTCTGGGGCAGGGCTATATCTTAGAAAAGATGGTGAGGTTTTGAGGGATGGGTTCCCAGTATAAACAGTATAATGAAAAGGCAATAAAAAATGAACATTTTGTAGTATGGGTCCTTAGTGTTTTCAATTTTTTGTAGAAAACTGGAAAGGCTACAGGAGAACATTTCATCTCTCTGGTGCAGCCAAGCTTATCTGATGTGTGATTCAGCTATTAAATCAAGACCAGCACTGTGTGGCCAGTTTTCCAAAAGTCACAGTGTGTCTAAGAAAGGCACATCAGTCTCTGATAATGAAATGAACACTTTCAGCTTTCAAAACATTTTAGAATATGACGATGGGAAGATTCTCTTTCTTCAGAAATGGGAAGGGGATCCTGTGGTCCACTGTAGCTTCCAGTATGTCTGGCTATTTGACTGTGTTTTCTGGGGCTTATGGAAGGTGGAGTCCAACAATATCTGGAGGGTCATATGTTCTTTCAACTTCCTCGACTCTCCTTTAAAGTGTGTGTGTTTTTAAATGCTAATAGTGTGTATTATAAAACAGCATCACGTGCATCAATTGTCCAACTGTAAGGAAGTTTTCATTATTCTGCTGCTGGTTAAACCCAGCAGCACTGGATGCCACGGAACAAGTGGTTGGCTATATTGCTCATATTTCCCAATTGTAATGTTAGATGTACAAAAGGAAGATGATGTGCATTGTGGCTTCAGCAGCAGCCCCCCACAGAAAACACGGCTGTGATCTAAACTGCAGGCTATCAGGTGGGATTACTGGCTAGGCCACAGCTGTTCAGGTAGAGTCATACCTGGTATGACAGTCAAAGCTTACAAAAAGGACCTTGTGACACAGAGGCCACTTGAGCCTCTAGTAAGGGTGACTGAATCAGCAGGTACACCCAGACCTGATCCTTGAGTGGGAGGACAGCCTCTTCTGGAATGGACTGAGCACCCCTCACCTGCATTAATGAACTGCCCACTAAGTACCTTTGTCTTCTCAGCACTTACTTATCAGTCCTCCTCATGTCCATCACTGCTCTAATGCACTGATTTACGACAGTCACTGCCTCAGCTCTGTTGGATGAAAAGGAAAAAGATGTCTGGGCGTCTTTTGCATATTAGTGACATCTCAAACCAACTTCCAGATAGCCTGTCGTTGAGTAGTAGTCTGCCAGCATTGCCCTCTGGAATTTGCCACCCAAGTAGGGCAAAACCATCATGTGTTGCCTGCAGCACCCGACTTGGATGTGGTTCAGAGTGATACTGTGGTTGATGGCATTAAAGTCCACGTAGATGAGATTCAATGGATGGGCACTCCCCCTATTACTGTCCTGGCCAATGCGATAAAATCAATTATTCTTCTCAAACCAACCCCAAAGCCCAGTTGAAATAGACCTATCCAGTCTGCACCATCTTAGAATATCTGGAGCTGATTTGCCATTCTGGGTGAAGAAGGGAAAGGGAAGGCTGAGGAACCGTGGAAGAGGCTGAAGGACTTACCTCAGCCTGGAGTGTAAGGATTGTGCAACTGACCTATCTTGTGTTGTCATGTGGAAAAGTAAACTTGTTCTGTATTATAGTCAACCTTTCATGTGAGAGTGAGTGACTAATAGTCATAAGACTCCCATTTTAGAGAGTCATCTGGGTTAGGAGAAGAGAAAATGGCTGAGAAAAATAATACAATTTCAGCCATTACTCTAGTTAGCCTGAAGATTGGAGCCAAAGGCTTGTGGTGCCCCTGAGCAACTGCCAATATGAATTGTAGAGTTTAGGAAGGGAATCCTGGCAGAAGGAGGGAGGCCATTCATCTTTTGTGAATCCTGGGCATGAAGCAGGGATGGTCACCTGAGGGAAAATACAGTGACCTGGGTATGAGGACCCATGGCTTCACCGAGGAAGCTGTGTAAAACTAAAGTGCCAGGTGGCTAAAACACCTGACAAACATACTCCTGAGGGTTTCCATAGGAGTGGAGAACAGATGGGTATACCACAGTGTGGTTGTGGTTGGTGTTGTCATCACAACAAGGTATAATTAAGAGAGCCTTGACTTGACTGGAGAGAATAAGGAAGAGAAGGTCTAGAAACAAATGGAAACCTGTACTCGGTGGTCTGAAATTATACTAGTATTCTGGCCTCTCTATCTATTTCCCTGTTTTTCACCTGGAGATACAAAGGCTGCGATACTAGTATGATTTCAGATCAGTGACAACCAGTTTTCATTTGCTTCTAGAAAAGTTTGCTATTGGAAGCAAATGAAGATGGATCTGTTATTTCTGTCTTTTGCTTTCCAATCAGAACAGATGTAACTGTCATTGGAGTCTGGGGGAGATTTAAGCACATACTTAGATTTCTTCTAGTAAGGAATTTCAATGCTTAAACATTTTGTAAATGATTTTGTTGAAAAAATATTTTTGTCAAAAATAAAATTTTGATTTAGGAAAGAGATTATTTAATTTCTGCTTTGCTTCATTTGCTTTGCTTAGCTTTGGAATAATTGGCAAGACCTTTTTGTTTTCTTTGTATCCTGGAGTCCATGTCTAATTTTTCTTTCCACACTGTGGAACTGATACAGAATAAATCTGGCATCTTTGCCCTTGTATACATTTGAACAGTTTCTTGAGGTTAGCATTCCTCAGATGCATAACAGCTCAAAATATTAAAATACAAGTGTTTTCCTACTTTCGTATGCATTTAATCATTGTGACCTAGCAAAATATGGGTCATATCCATCAGTCTAGACAGATTTTTTAAAAGGTAAAAATTTGTCTCTTAAACACGTGTTACTTATATGTCTGTCATACTTGAGAGGCAATAACAGTGAAAACATCTGTGCCACAGCTGTAGGGAGGAAAACCATCCTTAGCTTGAGGAACCAATCAGGTAACCTTGCTTTTGCATATACATATAATGACAAATCGTGGTTATTTTCTAAGCTTACTTTCATTGTGTTTTGCAGGCATTACAGTATCTTACCAAAGCACATAAATGTGAAATCCAATCAAAGGACTGGGACAAAGATATTTCTTCTTTTAAGGCAGTGGCAAAAGGTGCTCTGGAGCTTGCTAATGGTATGTTTAGTATAAAATTTTGAAACAAATCAATATTGGTTATTTATCGGAAAATGTCATTTACCAGAAAAACAAAGTATGGGTATAACTTGTTGTGAATACTAATATGTGTTCTGGGGGATGGGGGAAATGTTGATGGTGTGTTGACTCTACTTTTATTCAATGTTTTGCCCTATTCTTGCCAACTTTAGAAAGAGACCTGCTGTGAGTAAGAAAGAATGAGAAGGCTAAAATTGACTTGTACCCTCTAAATGCTGAAATAATGGAAAAAGCAGCATTCACATTGAATTTCTGGCAACCTTTGTCTCAAGTATTGGACACTAAAGTGCTGTTGAAGAGGAATAGATGAAAAATGGTTTTTCTGCCAAGTTCCCTACAAGCAACACCCCACCAATCTAACCAACTAAAGGGCTTTCTTTGTAGATAGGCCTTCCATGGTTTGCAGGTGCCATGGTCCAAAATAAACGTTTTATGGCCCAAAATGGAAAAGGTTTAAATTTTTCTTGATGGTAAATGGAAAAATATCTGGTGGTGTTTTATCAAAATGACGAAAACCATGTCAAAAATGAAAACAATATTTGTGCTATTAAAAGGAGCTGCACTTTGGAGTGGCTTGCTCAGATCTCTCTAAAAATCCGATTCTTTTCTCTACCAATGTGGTTTGTCAGAAAATGAGTCTCCCAAGTTACTAGTAATTTGATTGCACATTTGAAAAAGGGAGGATTAAAAAGTGAGAACTAGTGTTGGGACAGACGTGTGACCAATCTATTCCATGAGCAATTCCCTCCCTCTGGGTATAACCCACACACAATGACCCAGCTGGGTAGAACCCAGGAACTCACTTTTTTACATGGTCAATATGGCACTATTTGCAAACCTGGATGTTGGGCAAGAAGTTGTTACTGGCTGACCAGAATTTTGAACAGGAATACTCCACACTACAACATTTTGTTAGTCTGTATTGCTTAGATACAGAAAATAATTTGCTGTATGCCAATGACTTGGGCTGCAATATTGACTATGATCAGGCAGCCATGTGTTTGCCTTTAATTACAAGTATATATTAGCCTGCATTCCTGTACACTTGTTAATAGAATGAGACTTACTGCTGAGTACATGTGTGTAAGATTAGTTGTCTTTGTCAGAAACAAAAATAATATTGCGTGTTACCCGATTCCTTCTGCAAATAAAAAGTCATTACCATGTACTTAATTATTTCTATTGATGCCCCCTTTAAGGAGGTTTTTAAGTAAGACTTTTTCCTACTGAAAATAACCGATTGACAGCTAAGTGATCATTTACTTCCATCATGCCAATAGCCTTTGTTTTGTTTTAACTTCAACTTGCAGTCTCAATAAAGTGCAGCAGAACCAAGACTAATTACCAAGAAGCATTGCAGATACTCTCTTCAGCTCGACTCAGCTTGCGCAGTTTGGTAGCCAAAGCAAAGGTGAGAATGAGAGGAGCACCGTTAAAGGGAATTTGTAACATAAATGCCATCTGAGGTCAATATGGAGTTCTGTTTGTTATTTATGGTACTGCAGAACTACTTGCATTTTATTTTAATGCTTCAGTTCTCACTGAAAGATGTTATGATGGGAAGGAGTGGGTGTAGATCCTATTCATAACTAGTCCTTTTTTTCAGAGAACCTTACCAGATGTAGTAGTTACAAATACCCCTCTGGGGAGCAGGTAACTATTCTCTATAAAAAGCAACTCTCTGCAGCATTTGCTGCCAGTGTTATGGTGTGAACACAGTGACTGAGGCTTTGCTAAAAATAAAAAGTAAAGGTTACTGGAGAACCTCTGGTGTTGCTTCTGTGGGGCATCTTACATAACTGGAAAACACAGAGAGATGGACGATCCTATCAAAGTGGTACGGAAGGAAGGCCACCCTGAAACGCTGCTAGGGAATGGTCCAGTACTAGTCTCTTGTCAAAGCCAGGAAGGCAGATGATAAGCAGAAATGCCCCACCTTTGGGGCTGGGTGTTCAGGTAGTCATGCCAATTCCCATAAACCCCATGCAGTTCTGTACCATCAGTTAAATTCATATAGGACTTTGGCTGAGAACCCACTAAAGAAGAGAGGATGCTCTGAGTTAGACTGTTTCCTTCCTCCACAGCTTTTCTCACTCTGGGTAGCCAGAAACTGCTAAAAAGAAACATGACGGGAAGCTGACACAAAGGCGTGCTTTTCCTTCCTCTTTGCCCCCCCCCCACCCCAAACTGAGCGGCTGCAGTTCTTTTGTCCTTGCCAAAAAATGGCCTTGAGCTGGTAATCCATGGAATAACAGTATTCCCCTTGAGAGGGCATGAGGGCTGCAGTATTACATTTTTCCATCACATTTTTCCATCTATGAATTAAAGGTTGGTTTTCCATACATGCCACCCCTTCATTTTCATCAGTCTAATGTACCCATCAGGAAGAGATGTGAGTAACTGTCCATGTGATGTTGCAGTGCTGAGGAAATCATGCACTTGAGCTGGTTTTGATCTGCCAAGAGCAGACTGGGAAGAACCTGATTTTCACTGTGCTCTTCACCAGTCAGGGGTTACATTTTCCATGGCTTTGAAAAGCTTGGTGTGTACAGTACCAACTGCAGCCTAATAGGATTAGGCTGCTTTAGCTTCTTCAACAAAGTTATCAAGGTTATTCAAGGCGATCATGAAAACAACAAACAAGCCCGGGTCCTGATTTTGCAGAATCTGTTCTGGGTTGTTGACGACTCTGGAAATTCTAGATCTTTTCCAAAATGGCTCCAAAATTTTTTCATCAGCCCACAATTGCCTCTGAAATCTGGTAACAGTAGATTTTGGCACCAGGGCCTTAGTGTGCCCTGCAGTGGAGTCCTGTTCTTTTCTCAATTTTCCATTTGTCAGTGTTTTGCTTTGCTCTTAAACGTTAATGGGTTCCTTGCGCTTCCTCTGGCTTACAGATTGGAAAGCTTTGTGGTATGACACCAAGTTCTTTGCTTCTGATTAGAGTGACAGCATCAATTACAGAGATGTTGTTCATTTGTTGTCCACAGAGTGACACTAGCATATCATCTTTGGTGAGGGTGTTCTCCACTGAAGGTGCCAGAAAGAAAGATCAGTGATCTTATGGAAGTAGTTGCAGTGAATATCTTTGTTAAACATAGTCATTTAAGATGAATTTCTTCCTTCTTGTTTAAGAATGAAGTTGTCGCCACAAACTGTTTTTTATTACTGTTATTTATCTTATACAGCAACTTTTTGCGGATGCCGTGGTTGGCAACATTTCCAGTGACCTAGCTGAAGAAGTGGCAGCTATGGAGAACTTGATAATGGAATTACAAGAACTTAGCAACCAGCTAAAGAATCGGACGTGAGAAAAAGAAGATACTTTCCCTGGAGGAAGGGAGGATAGGAGGGAGGGGCAAGCTTGGCACAGTTTGTGGGCTCCTGTTTGTGCTAAGGAGTTTGCAGTAAATCAAATACCCAAAGGCACTTTCTAATAAATATTTTTCCATACAATACAGCTTTTAATTGTGGCCAGCTTTGCAAAGTGTTTTTAAGCTTATGTCTGTTCAGTCTCAATTTGGGTGAATGTGTGATTACTCTTGGCCTAGGTTTTATAGAACAAACTGTTTTTTATTTAGAAATCCTTTTTTTACTTAGCATTAGTTCTGCTCAAGTGCATGGCATAATTGGCTCTTTTCCATAGCTGTGCACTTCGCAGATAGGAGAGATTAAAGAGTCCTGTTGATGTTAGATGGGGAAAGGAAAGGGGTACTTAGTTTGTTCTTGTTTTAATTGAGTTCAGGAAGAGACATTGAAGAAAATCAAACAAAAATGGGAATGGCTCTTTTCTGTGATGTTGAGAACAAATATAATGCTGCAACAGACCCAATTGTGATTGCCTTATCTCTGCAGTTTCCACACAAACAGTAGCTCGCACTACCGCAGCAACACTAACCACAGTCAACTCATTTGTTTTCTGCAAAGCTGCAGGCTCTGGCCTCTAGGAACTTGTCTGCCTTTCTAGAACCCAGGAGCATTGCAGAACCATCCATGGTTCCACTCTCCTATGTTCCCACACAGGAACTGTCAGAGCAGCACCAATAGCACCTGCTCGAGAAAAGTGTTGGCTCTGCATCCCCACGAATCTCATCTAAAAATGAGTGCTAGCAAGATCAACCTTGCTAGATCAGATCAGGACTGTTTAGTTATGCACTGCATCTCTAGCAGCACCAGCCAGATGCCTTGGGGAGCATTTGTTAGCTGGCCGTGAAGGGAGGAAACCATCTCTCTTCTTTTCTCCAGTATTTGCATAGCTGTTGTAAAGAGCTATTGGGCAGTATAAAAATGAAACGAAAGATGACAGACAGAGAGACAGAGAGTTGTATAAACTGATTTTACTTTTTGTGTATAATTACTGCATTCTGTCTGGAAGATCTCAAGTTCTTCATGCTGTACGTAATTATATAAATCTTATTAACACTGCCTGCCGTTACTTTTCCTTCATAGACTAAAACCCCCAACTTTTGTTGTATAGAGGTGCTTCAACCATGTCATCATTTCAATATCTTCTTTGGCTCAGCTACCTTTCTATAGATGGAGTGACAAGACTGGCACACAGTATATAATGTGTATTATTTTCAGTCTGCTTTCCAAGGAGTCCTGGCACTGAGTTTGTTTTTTCCACTCCTGCAGCATGAAGAATTGCCATTTCACAGTGCTTTCTACTGTGCCCAAACCATCTCCTCCGTATAATAAAATATTGCAGTATTTTAAGAGAACCTGAAAAGAGTGTGTTTATTTTCAGGTTTTTAAGGTGTTGCCAAACATGCATTTACTATGTTGAAATTATTTTTCTCTGGTATGTGTTGTGTTCCCAGTGTGTATACATGCACACCCAAATGAGTAATTCTGGATGCATTTACAAACATTTCTTATGCCAAAAAGCAGCTCCAAAGTTATATAGCATCTGTAAACTTAATAGGAAAAGGTACCTCTTCAGATATATACTTCTATGAGTGATCCTAAACATGAACAAATGTGGTTAGTGATATTCAGTGCCCTCTCTCATGCTACACATTAGTACACCTGGGTTTATCACTCTGAAAGTGCACAAATTAACATTGAAGCTGCCTTCCATGAAGTCCAATCATTGATTAGCCCAGCTCAGTTCTGGCTTCTCAGGCAGGCACTCAGCAAGCTCTTAGGCTAGGAGCATAGCACCTCAGGCCTGTAGATCAAACCCGCCCACCTGGGGTCACAATCCAGAGCTCCAGTACTCTCTGGATGGCCACAACCTTGGCCCCCAAGGCCCCAAGTGTGTGGCAGGTTCCTGGCTTTTATGTAGTCCCCACCCCCTGCACATTTTAAAAGGCTGAAATATCCTCTCCTTAGGCTCTATTATTGGTAGTAAGAACTTTAAGTTATAGCCTGATATTTTGGTTGTGGCCCTTTTGCACCCCCCCCCCCAATATTTGCCTACCACTACGATGTGGCCCCAAACACTACTCCAAAGCGGACCTTAACCCTCAGGCTGGAGATGGTTATCCAGAAAAGTCTCCTGCTTAAAGGGATGCAAACCCTCAGGATTTGCATCCCTTTAAGCAGGAGACTTTTCTGGATAACCTTTTTAACAGGAGATCCCACGGTTTGAATCTGGGATCCTCTGTGTGGAAACATGTGCTCAATCCTGACAACCCCTCCCCTTATCACAGTATACTTCATACATGAAGATGTATGCACACAGCATTTTGTGTACACCAGAAAAAAAGTGTGAATCACCTTGAAATGTTAGCCACTTGAAGTCAACACAAGGAAAATTGATATCATTTATTTCTTTTCTAGCACATTTAATACAGGAAGCTGCAAAATTCAAATACACCACAAAATATAATTTTTTCAAAGGAGACTTAAAGAATATTGTTTTCTTCTAAAACGCCAAACAAAAAACATAGGCTACCTTAATATATCCAGTTATGTCTTACTTAGAAGGCTGTGTAGAGCGTCTTGCAGTTTTTATTTCAGTATAGTTTTTCTGGTCACTAGCACAATCAGTTGGACAGGTGTCAGAAATAGTAAGAGAAAATGCTTCATCTTCTGTGGATTCAGAAGGAAAGTTGTATCAAAGGTTCTGAATTATTAGGGCTCTGCTCTTGTCACCCGCTCTCCTTTGCTGCCTTGGCAAATCCAGAAAATGCTGAATGCCTTCCAGAAGACTCAGGAGAAAGTGAAAATGTTTTTGCTGTGAATTTCTCAGCCTCATGAAGGGTATTCTCCTGCTTTTCATTCAAACCAATACATCTGGTCTACACCTTCTACTGACACTACAGGAATGTGGTGGAGGTAGAGAGAGAGATTCTTAGAGATTTTTCCTGATTTCCTTTCTGTCCCATGCAGTAGCATGTTGCATTTCTTTGATATAATGTAATTACTGTTGATATATCCTACAGGAATAATTTCTGTGTTTTCTACAGTTCCAGGAAGGGGTCAAAGAGTCTTGTGCTCCTCCAATCCAGTCTGAGAGGACTTGGCAGTTCTCCTTCCAGAGAAGAAATTAATTGGCCCTGTCTTTATGCTTCAGGGGGGTACACCATCCAGAGCTGCTGAATGCCTTTCAGGAGACTAAGAAAAAAAATCATGGTTAGGAAATTTCTATTATATTTTAATGATTACCAAAATCTGAACAGGGTTATTTTTTAAGGAAAAAATGACCCAACAAAAATAGGAATGGCATATGCATTGCATTCTTGGTATTTAAAAATAAACTGGAGTGCATTTAGGAAAAAATTAAACTCTGTAGGGTAAATGGCTAGCAAATTTATGGCAGTGTTGTCAGTAAGATTACTCAGATTGGCTGCTCTGTGTTCCAAAAACCATTTAAAATGCCCATGGTAATAGGAAAATACTTTTTTAAAATATCAAAAACAATTTGTGATTTGTCACAGAGGAAGGATTAGTCAAGAGAGAATACATGAGATTTAAGAGAAAGTAAGCAATATGTCTGATCTTCCATTACACTTACTATGATGCCCTAAATAGTTTGAGTGCTCAGTATGACATTTACTCTGTTAAGAATCCACTCTTTAATCACTTGATTTACACAGTGCTTAATGTAAGCAGTTATATCCTGGTAAATATCCACAAAGTTCTTGACACTTGTAGTTATGACTTATCATTTAAAAATAATTTCAGTGGCATATATACTGTCTGCTCAATACCCCAGTAATGTTGATCATGAAATCTGCACTGCCCATAAGCAGGATCTTCTGCTATTATAAATCAATGTGAAACATCTTTATGAAAACCTGACTCCTTTAGTAGAGAGGGGGTGGGGAAGACTGCCTGTTCTGGGAGAAGATGAAAGACACAAGTGATGTTCCAGTCCTAAGAACATGCGAAGAACAATACTGGATCTTGGTCTGCCAGGGTGCATCTAGTCCAACAAGCAGTTCAGAAATGTTAAGGACAGAACACCACAGGGAACAGAGGTGTACGCCCACAAATATGCTTATCAGACAAGGCTATCCATGGCTGCTAAGCATGATAGCTATAAGGCACCGGTTTTCAAGCACCGGTCCGCCAGCGTTTCCCGCCGCTCCGTGCGCGCGCACGACAGCAGCGTCTCGCTCGCCAGGACCAGCGCCGGGCTCGGAGTCCTCCCAGGAGGGGAGAGGCAGCTCAATGGGAGCTTGCCCGGAGCCGCCCACGCAGGGTCCGCCCTCTGGGCAGGGCGCGAAAACCGGGCCTTTTCCTGCTGTGTTTTCTGCTGGGAAGGGAAATGCTGAGGCGGCCTTGTGCTCTGTGTGCTTTCTCAGCCAGTCTGTGCTGGTGTGTATGGGGGTCTGGGGGCGGGGGGTCATTGTATTTCAGTATTTCATATTATGAATATTATTGTATTAAGTAACTTCGTTTGGTTTTGTATGCCTCTGCTGTTAGTATTGTATTTGAATTTGCATTTGCTATGAGCATAGTATTGCATTTATATCGATTTTGTATTTTGCTATTGCAAATTTTAGTATTCTTGAAAAGAAGCACTAGCAGATTTCCCAGTAGCCTTATTTGAATTACTTACTGCTCTCCAAAAATTTCAGTTGTATTTGATTACATTTCATTTCAATCTTTTATTCTTTTATTAGCATTTTTTACTGCTCAGTTTCTGGCTATTCCAGAGAATTTTCATTTTTGGTACTATATCTAAAAATGAATACACAAAATACTAGAAGCAGTAAAAATCATGCTTTTTATTTCTGCCTCAGCAGTCCCCGAAATAATTTTCCTATTTTTGCAGGTCGCCAACTGTAAAAAGGTTGAAAACCATTGCTATAAAGTACCTTGAGTTGGGGAATGTGAGCAGGAGGGTGCTGTTGCTTTCTGGCCCTGTGTGTAGGGTTCCGATTAAGTCACATAGTTAGCCACTCTGTGAACAGAATTGTGGACTAGATTGGCCTTAGGTCTGATTTTGCACAGTTGGTTTTCCATGCTTCTGTTGTGGTTGGCAATCTAGAACTTGAGGCATTTGACAAGTGCTTTGTGGAACATGTGGGTTTTCAGGATTAATTTTAAATAAAGTCAAAGTAGTGGCACAGTGCACACCTCAGTTACCAAATAGTGACTTATCATGGTGCACATATAACTACTAGATAAACCAGGGGTCTGTAACATCCTGCATACTGGTGAAGGTAGCTTTACTCCCTGTTATCCCATTTCTGATTGTGTATAAATACGTGGCAAATTGCTCTGCCAGCTGTCTCTCTTTAGCATGAAAATAGTTAAGTAATGTGTGAATGAAGAAAACTTCCTAGGAGACTTCATCACAAATGGTAAAACATTTGAATCAAATCTAGTAGCCCAAGCAATAGCGCTATATAACAGAGGACAGTTTTTCTTAAACATTTAGAAGCACTTATAAATAGACAGGTTTCAGTCAACAAGAAGCTCATTCAGGCATGCACTCAATATAGTAACAGCATTCATTAGACAGACATTTCTGCTAATCCCTAGACTATACTAATAAAAGAGTGATCCTATAAACTAGAGATAGTGCTAGTTTTCTTTCAACTCTTTTCCTTTAAGACTAATAATAATTGTAGTTTAAATTTGGGTTTTGAGCAAGTGTTCCTACAATTTAAGCTAACTTGAGACCTTGCAGACTAGACTTTTATCTAGTTGATCATACTTAAAAGCTTACATTTTTAAAAGCTGTAGAACTATGACGTATTGGTTTGGATTTGTAGTCCCTAATTATCTAAGTTGTTTCATAAGAAAATTGAACAGCTGAGAGTATGACAGTAACATAAATGTTTTAATTAATAAATAAGTAAACATAAGGAGTTAAAACAACATAGGCTACAATTCTAAAACTCAATAATAGTCCATTAAAATCTACTGGCCACCCTCCCTTCTGCATCCAGTCCTGCAACTCCTGCTGTTCCTTGACTCCTGCTTGTTCCTGTCCTTGCTTCTGATCCCACCACAGCTTTGCCAGGTAGCTCATCCTTGCCTGTTCCTGCCCTTGCTTTTGTCTCTGGTTCTGCCAGACCCTGTTGGTATCTGACCTCTGCTTCCCCTGAATTTGCCTTTGCCTCTAGTCCTGCCATGCTCTGCCAGTGACTGACCCTCGCCTTTTCTTCATTCTGTCCTTTACCTCTGGCTCTGCCATGCCTTGCCAGTATCTGACCTTTGCTTGTAACTGCCTTTGCCACTGGCTCTTCTGCATCTTGCCAAGCCTTCATCCACCTCCTTTGCCTGCAGATCCTGGTGCTTAAGTTGCAAACGCCTACTGGTTGCATC